TGCAAAAGTATTGCGAGATCTAGCAAAAGTATTGCGGGATCTCGCAAAAGTATTGCGGGATCTAGCAAAAGTATTGCGGGATCTCGCAAAAGTATTGCGGGATCTCGCAAAAGTATTGCGGGATCTTGCAAAAGTATTGCGAGATCTAGCAAAAGTATTGCGGGATCTCGCAAAAGTATTGAAGGATCTCGCAAAAGTATTGCGGGATCTCGCAAAAGTATTGCGGGATCTTGCAAAAGCATGGCGAGATCTAGCAAAAGTATTGCAGGATCTCGCAAAAATTACTTTTTTCCCCTCCATGTCCCTTTAGGGGCTCCGTACTTTTGTTTATTTTTTTTTTTTCATTTTTACCCTCAGAATATCCATATTTTTTTTATGTTTTAAAGGTAAAAATGTCTTGTATTTCACTGAGTGCCCTATAAAGGGTTAATTTGGAGAAGGATTTTACATCAGCTTGGTCCCCCCTATCCACAGGTGAGAGTGACTCAGGGTCAGGAGCCTCCCCACCTGATGAGCCTCTTCCAGGGCAAACCCATGATCATCCACAGCGGGGGAACTTCTCGTAAAGGTGGGCAGTCTCAGCCTGGCAGCACCCGTCTCTTCCACATCCGTCAGAGCTCTTCCGGCGCCACCCGTGCTGTAGAGGTGAGTTTGTTTACAGGTGTTGTAGTGGGAAAAAAGTATCCAACTATTTACTCCAGTTAAATAAACGGAGATCGATGGATTTTACTCAATTTATTTCATCTTTGCAAAGAGAGAACAGTTCATCATAAAGCCCTGATTGCTCGGTAATCAGCCCTGTTCTGCCTGGGCAGCGTTCGTTCCTCCTTACTTACAACAATGGAAAGAAGTCAGAGTCAAAACAAATTACAGACATTTTGGTTAAACAGTAACATGTTATAAATAAACCTTGAGAAAGAATCTGGTTTGTTATGGGAAGAAGTGTCTTTTCTACAAACACCCCTCACAGACAAACGTTTTCAGTTAGTAAATAGCGTAATCAATATATGAAATAAGAGAAATGTAAATTTTCCGATCACAGTGTTTACGGTCACATGCGGGGAAGCTCAGTCTTAGTTTTCTAACTCTGTTCCGATCAGGTCGAGGCCTCGGCTTCCAATCTGAACACCAACGACGTCTTCGTGCTGAAATCCCCCAAAGGCCTGTTTGTGTGGCGCGGCGTGGGAGCCAGCGAGGAGGAGATGAACGCGGCCAAGCACGTTGTTGGCTTTTTGGGCGGCAGTCCCAACAATGTCTCAGAGGGCAAGGAGCCAGGTGGGTCTCATTTTTAATGCATGTGGAGAAAAAGAAGAAGGTTTACAACATGGTCTAATGCTTCTTTCTCAAAAGTTAAGAAAACATTTGTTTTTTAGCTCTTATTGTTACTACATTGTCACAAGTACAGAGCAGCGAAATTAACTCTCTGCATTTAACCCATCCCATTGGGGATGTGGAATTAGGAAGCTGAGACAGAAGCATTTCTTGCAGGAGATAAGGTTCATATTTATTTAACATCCTCCGACGGAGAGATAGAGCTCTGACTGAGGCAACCTCAGTACATTTATATATACCTTACAGAAATCCCAAACACACTCCCCCCAGGGGAACCAACCCACCCCCTGTATAAAGAACTTTCTCACACTTGAACATTTGGAGGACAAACAACTTAAGTTCATCAAGGCCGTTCCCTTTTAGGTTAATCTATCTCTCACTGGTCAGATGGATCTCCTAATAACAGCAGTCCTCGCCTTCATGCCATGAAGGAGGCTGTGTGACTCATTCTTATCTC